CTTTCATGAGTATACCTTTCATGTTTCACACCTGAGAGAAGAAAGGGATTTTCTTTTGACCTTATTTACATCAAATATTTAACATAAGCCAACGTTTTAATATATAAGTGATTACTACTTGCAATATATATATAAAATTGATTATTACTGTTTTTATTATTTCAATGTTTAAAAACCCTTCGTATAACAACAAACACTTTCTCTTTTTTTCAGGTCTGCTGTGGCATATCAAAAGTTTCTTACTGTGGCATATTAAACTCCAAGCACTATGGAGAATAGTAGAGAAATAATACCCTTTTTCAAAGATGTTAGAGGTTAACTGGGCTAAATCCATGTACCCAGAGCTCAAAGACACAGCCTGTGTGGTAAGGGAACTCAGAATTAGGAGAACAACATCATGAAGAATGGCCTAGGCAAATTGGGTTGAATTTTGTTTGCAGAGTGAGTATGAGGGATGTCTTTTCCAAGTGGATAGAACAGCATGAACAAGAGCCAAGAGGAAAATATACATCAATCATGGAGAAGGACGTGGCTGAAGTGGAACAGCCATGAATGGGATAGGTGAGAGAAAGCACGGGAAAGTAGGCCCAGTGTTCTGGCTCGTCAAGTGGGGAGAGACCAGTATGAAATTTGAGGAACCAGCTAATATTGAGGGCTTTTAGAAGGAGACTGTTTCTATGAGTAGTAAGTGACCCCCCCTCCACCTGGAAAATATTAGACTGGTCTTAAACAAACACAGTGATCCTCAGAGCAACACTTCTCTTTCAATTATACTAGCTTCACTTGCTAAGAGATCTTACTGGCTGACTAATGCATATGCATTATCACACTTGATGTTTATAATGACTCTAGGGGTCAAAAGCATTTTCAAATGTAAAAGATGAGAAAACTGTGTATTAGAGCAGTCAAATAACTGGCCCATGGTCACCCAATTTGAGCTTAACTCCAGTTGTGTAAGAGAGTCCCTGCTGGCTCAGCAGTAAATAAACTGCCTGCTAATGCAGGAGATCTGGGCTCGATCTCCGGGTTGGGAAGATCCCCTGGAGGAGGAAATGGCAACCCACTGCAGTGTTCTTGCCTGGGAAATCTCATGGACAGAGGAGCCTGGTGGGCTATAGTCCAAGGGGTCACAAAAGAGTTGGACATGACTTAGTGACTAAACAACAACAACCAGGTATGTAACCTCACAATCCATACTCCGTATTCCTCCTGCCTTCTTGATGAGCTCCACCTCAGTCTCAGAGCAGTGGCTTCAAAAAGTCATCACAGCCCAAGGGCATGTACTTTTTCTTCTAAGCCAAGTTGATTGAGTTACAATCCAGTGTAAAGAGAGTGTATCTGGGCCCACCCACATTCAGAAAACATACCCAGTTTGATTTCAGTAGGCAAAGATCTTGTGGCTCTTCGGAACCCTTATCTACCTCCTAAGTGGTCAATGAGAAGCCACAGATAGTGAAACGAAAAGGATCCTCTTTTCACATTCCTAAAATCTATCCATCATCCAACCTGATTGCTCCTCAGAGTGGGAACTCACTCCTCGGTGGGATGGTGATCCGGCTTTTAGAAAGTTTCTATCAATAAAGTCAAGCTCTATCCTTTGTGCAGCTCCCTCAACCCCTGCATCCCAGACCCTGGAGAAACACAACATCAATCTATGGTGTCATCTAAATGGAAACCCATAAAAATACTGCTCCTTCATCTCTTCTCTCCTGACTAAATGTGCTCATGTGACAAAGTGTTTAAAGCACGTACCTTTCTGCCTGTCTACTCTGTTTGCTGTCAAATTTCTTAGTGTCACCAGTGTTTAATGGATATGCTTTGAGCAGTAGATTGAAGCAATTGCCATCTCTAAGTCAGATCTTATATTTTTACTAAGCAAACAGTTAACAGCTATGTATTACCATTTTAGCAAGTAAAGCATGTGTTGGCTCCTGTAAATTTTGTGTATCACCAAAACTTAGATGTCACCGATAGAACTCTCAACACACCAGATCTGACACTGAACATAAGCTATTTATTGAACACCAATGCATAACTGGACTTTTATCTATTTTGAAGTGGTACCTTTTGGCTTCATTTCAGCCTAGACAAATCTATTTGAATCCTGATTCTGTGCTCTAACCTACAAACCATATACAGGGAATAAATTGGTGACACAATCACACACACTTTTTTTTTAGGAATAAAGTTCCAGGAGATGAATTGATAATGTCAGAAAAACCTGGAGCTCACCCATATGAATCCCTGGAGGATATATAGCATAGTCTTCTGAGATGAACTGGACAAGTCCTTCTCTCCAGGAGAGATGTTTAAAAGAACCAAACTCTCGAAGGAAGTTCTCCCAGGGTAGGACTGAAAGGGAGAGGCTGAGACCTCCCAAAGACAGTGTTTAGGAGAGAGTCTGGGGAGAGGGCAAAGCTCCTCCCTCTGAGAATAATTCCCAGGTGTGTCTCTGATCTTAGCTTCCACACCTCCACCCTTGATCACTCAGGCTTGCTACTAGCCTTCTAAGACCTACCCTAATCAAGAGGTTCCATCTGTGACCCCTTCCCTGACCTTAGAACTGAATCTCCTCTGCCACTCCAAACAAGATACTCACTATCTCTGAACCCAGGTTGTTACTCAAAATGCCAAATGAGACAGGAAAGAGGCAAGAAGGCATGCTATAGAGACTTTCCATCGGATCATGTTGATATGATAAAGCAGAGAGAGTGATTTGTTTTAGTGTTTTTCTTTCTATACAATGCTTTATAGAGAGCAGCCTGGTTTGGTGAGAATGGGAGAGAAGGGGAAATTTAGTATGTTTCTGAGAACTTGTTTGTAAGCTGGTATTGGCCATGATCCTCCACTGGGAGGGAAATCTACCAGAATCTAGGTGGATTTGATAGAAGTCTTCTAAAAGCTACATACTTCCTCTTATGCATTAGTGTCTACCACCCAGAGTCACCTTCATTGAGGCAAATGTGACATTCTTTTAGTTCTATTTGTTCAGAAGTAGGGAATGAGGAACAACCCACTGAACTAGAGAGATAAGTCTGTAAGTCAAGAACCCCTCGCTCCATTACTGTAGTCCACCAGTGGAGTTTGGTTTGAAGAATGGGATCCTATGCCTGTAGACATAATCATACTGGATTCTTGCTGTTGCAGCTCTCAAGCCTTCAGTATTGATATTCACGAAGGCTTAGATGGAAAACGAAAGTTAGGATTTAGCACAGCAGATCTACTCCAGAAACCCACGTTATTGATGTTAACCTTCATTTTCAACAAGAGCAAGAAACCCCTCTCCTTGAGTCTCAGCCTGCTGAAGTTAGCACTGTACTTTCAAGAAAACTAAGGTTCAGACACAGAGTAACTGTTGTGCCACATAACTTTTGTGCATGTGTGTGTTTGTTTAAAAGTATTTTAAAACAAAACTGGGGTATAGCTGTTTTACAATGTTGTCTTAGTTTCTGCTTTGTTTGATTTTATGACAGCTTTTCTAAGCCTGTATCGCAAAGTGCCATAACATAGTCAGTAAGGGGGGGAAAGAATTAAAACAGAGAGTGTGTGTGTGTGTGTGTGTGTGTGTGTAGTATTTAACCTAAAGAACTATTTCAGAGCCACTGAATATGCCTGAGCTTTGCATTACTATAATCCCTGATAAAGAAGCAGTCCCAGATTTCAAGGTCACTGATAGATGTCACACAGAAAAAAAGCAAATCGAGAATGAAATTATGACAATTATTTGGCTTAAACGAGCATATTGTTGGAGAAATCAACATTATTTCCACATGAATATAAACAATTTCTACGTAAATACTGAAACTGTCTCAGATAATCTTTCATTTCCTGGCAATTTGTGTTACTCAGTCTTAAAATATTACTATATCCTCAATATATTGATTATTGACAACAAACTGAAGAGCTATAAACAAACTACTTTCCACACAATTCTATTATCTTATTGGATTAATTTTTGAATATTTAATAATATTGAAAACATATGAAAAATATAAAATAGTATAGCAGATACTTGGTAGAATTTGATCCAAGTATACCTAATATAACATAGCCTACATCATTAAGTTCAGTAAATTTTCCCAAATTCATTTCCTATATCAATTCTAATGCTTTCAAACTGAAGGGGAGAGATTGATGGCCATTACATTGTGATCTGTATTTCATGATTTGATATCACTTTCACAGGTATCCCATAGGGTAAGTAAAGTACGAGCCACGCCGCCATCTAGAGAATCTGAGCAACAAACACCTTAAATCTATACTCAGGCCAACCATTCCTTAAACCCACAATAGGTTTCAATACACTCCTGAGGCCAGTGATCTGGGTAATTGCCTAAACTTTCATTTTGCTGGGCCAGTGAAGACTTTACAAATCACTATATGCCAAATAGTTTTTAAAATAAAATACAAATTATATAACCCATATCTCCCTGACCCCAACTATAGTAAAAAAAAAAAAAAAAAAAAAAAAACAAAAAGCCAAGCATTTGACCACTTTGATTAAAATACGATGCAAATACAAAACCTTTATAGAAAAGCATTTTTGTTCTCATTTTTAAAAATGACACTCTGGACAGTGCCTTAAGTGGGTCCCCATCATTCTCAGCATAAATTTGACTTTTTTTCAATGACTGAAGATTTTCTCTGACGCAGGTAAAACCAGGTTCTTTTTTTGTATAGAAAAGAAGCAAGCTAGAATGAGAAGCAGTAAAATAATGTCCCACAGTAAATATGTCTCTTCAAATAAAGTGACCTAATCAGTCCCCACAGCATCTGTGGTGACACAAGGGGCAATAATCCAGAAGAGAAACTAGAAAAATCAGTTCACACCATGAGGACTTTCCAGGTGAATCCTTCCATATATTGAATGGAGACTCACAGAGAAACAGTCCGTGTCACAGCTGCCCCTTGTTAACCAGCAATAAGCATTGGTGAGAGAGCCCAGAGTCACTAACTGTTAAAAAAACGTTTTAAAAAAAAATAATAAAGCCAAACCTTACCAGAAAGGAGCAAGCTGACTCCGCAGAGAACTAAGCCGGCTAAAGAATCCATGCTTCCCCAAATTTCTCCATCCAGTTTCTGCAGACATGCATGAGGTCCCAAGGATCCTTTCAAACACCCAGAGGTTTGTGACTTTCCATTCGCCTGTCCTACTAGGTCTTGTTTACAAGTCAGAGGCAAGAAGGAACAGCATAGAAGCGGGCAGTCACAGTCTCATTTCTGTCTGAGCACAGGGAGTTTTAAGTTCCTTTTTCCTGTTTCCTTTGTAGATTAGGATGGGAAAGGCTGTATCTTAAAGGCGTTTGGTATCAGCAGGGCTGGGGGCATGGTAAGCCCTGTCCATCTTGCAATTCATCAAAACACTTATCTATGGCGGCTGCTGCTGCTGCTCCTGCCGCAGGGGTAGAGGAATTTTAGTTGGAAGTGTGGGTCCTGGTCAGCACTTTCAGAAACAATAGGGGTATCCTCTCTGAGGCGGGAAACTGAGAATAACAAGCCCTCCACCTATGTATGGTATGTGCTGATGACCGGCCCTTCTCAGCCCTCCAACAGCTCTCACGGGTCTACTTGGGAGCCCTGACAGAAGGGGCTTTTGGGTGTGGGGAGCAGTTTTGGCTTTTGTTTTCTTGTTTTAACCCCATGTGGTTTGAATGGGGAAAAGACGTTTTCGTGATGAGAGAACACAAGCCCCCGCCCAAAACAATTAATGTGGGTTAATTAACAGTGAGGTCAACGCTCAACGTGGCCACAGAGACCAGAGTCCAAAATTGTTAGCCTGTTTTCCTTTACACAGATGGCTTCTTTTTTGGCCAAGAGCCCGAAGATATCTATGCTACTGGCTACTGCATTTATTTTTTTATTAACAACTCATCTGGAGATGATCTAATTTCTTAAAGAACTGGCAGAGAAGGATTTTAGTAATAACTAGGAGGGATTTCGTGGTTACCGGCCAACTTGCTTTCAGAAGTAAGTTATGTCCAAGATTTTTAAAATAACCTGTGTAAAAACCAAATAGTGTAAGTTTTAGGTGGGGATAAATAGTTTAAGATTTAGGTGGGGATAAAAATATTATTTATAAGAGCAGAGAGAGTACATAGACCAAAAAGAAAATAACCACTGGGGTAACCATATCTACAACAAGATCAGAGACCCTAAATTTATCCAGATGACAATATCACGAAAAAACGAATTCTGAATTTAGCACGGAGAGCCCGTACCTTAGTCATCACCTTGCCTTTATGCCCTAGGAAAGAGGTCTCTGCTCTTTTTCCTACTCACCACGGGAAACGGCAGATGCTGCTAGTCTTGCCTGATTTCTGTCTTGGGTTTTATCACTTTAGTGATGATCTTGAGAATCGATTGATGTTTCCAGGCAGCTAAGGTAGAAAAGCTCAGGCTGTGTTTTCAATAGACCTGAGTTCAAACACTGGCTCAACCATGTGTAATCTGAGACAAGTTACTGAAACTTTGAGTCTCAGTTTCAGTAGCTGTAAAATAGCAATAATATCTCCATCAAGGGGAATTTTTGAGAGGATTAAATGAGGCTTGAAAATACATAGAAACATCCGGCACCGTGTCTAATTCATAGGAGACTTTTGTTAATTGTGTTAACATATTCATTTCCTTTCGTCTTTCCATTCTGTCTCTAAGAGCTTCCTCCAGAAGGCTAGTCTCTATTTCTCTGAGATGGCGTCAAGTCTGCCATCCTAACGAAGCAGTCTAGGAGTCAGGGATTCTGGGTACTAGTCCCAGGTCTGCCATGATCTGCCTGTGAGGCCTTGGACCATTCACTTCCCATCTCTAGGCCTCGGTTTCCTCAACCATGTAAGTGAAGGATTTAGACTGGATATGACTAATTTCCCTTCTGATGGTAACATCTCATAGTCTCAATGACTAAATTGTCCCACTCAGCATCCCCATGATGATTCCTAGGTCCTTTCATTTGGGCAGTTCAAAGAAGATGCTAACTGTGTATCTTTGTCACTGTGAAAACCTAAGGGGTGGGAGGGTCACAAAAGTGCTTTATTTAAGCACATGGTATCTGAGACTTTGTGAGCCCCACTGGCCCTAAGCCACATGGAGCAGCAGTGGAAAGGAAGGCAGGCCTTGGAAAGAAACAAATCCCAGTGCACCTTCCTCCCTGGGCGCAGCTTCCCCTGTTTGTGCTTGATGGGCACACAAGCAGTCATTGCTCTTGCTCCTTCCTGTTTGCTGGTTCTTGCCGGCTGAAGGTGTTGCTACCTTGCATCCTTACCTGGGCTGCCTGCCTCTGTCCAGCTTCATGCTTCCCCATCATCTAGAATGATCTCCTCCTACCCAGAGCTGTCAGTCATGTTCTTCCCTCCATTATCTGGAATGGGTGCCTCATTTTCACTCTTCTGTTATCCAGAAATGTTGCTCAGTTTATTTTTTCATTATCCAAAAGAACTATGTAGTTTAATTTCATCTTCCAGGATCCAGAAATATTATTCCCTGTAATCCTTGTCCCCGTTGTCCAGAATATTGATTCCATATAATAAGCACTGCTGGGTTTCTGAGTCTATGATTATACAGCTAGTTAAAAGGTGAAGCAACTTTTCTCTGGGACGTCTGAAACTTTGGTGTATGAATTCCAGGTGTAAAGTGCAGATAACTTGTGAACAAAAGTTCCCAGACATGCTCGGACCCAGTTTTCTGCCTTATTGGTCTTAGAATATGGCAAACCAATTGAGGAACAATAGTATGAGCTTCACTACCAAGTGTGGGGCCAATAGGTCAGCAGAGCTGATTGGCAACAGGTTGGGAAGTTGCAAAACTGGATGGCATGCCAGAATTTCCAAGGGAAGGGAGAGGCCATTTCCATGTCTGGACAGGACTTTCCCCAATACATAACGTATTAAGGAAATACCTCATACTTGGACATGGCCACAACCCTTCTCTCGAAAGCTGGCTGCAGCCATCTCCAGAGCATCTCCATACCCTGAGGAGCCTTGCTGGGGACCAGCTGGGTCAGCTCTCTGTCCTCAGCTATTCCACCCACCCAGGAACATTGGAATGCTCTTCCCATTCTTGACTGATTAATACCTAGTTATATTCTGGGTCTCAGTTTCAGAAAGGTCTTCCCGGACCTGTTCAATCTGAATCACGTCTCTCCTGTTATTCCTTTCCACCATCCTCTCCTTTTTCTTCACAGTACTAATCACAATTGGTAATCATATACTTGTGTCTTCTTCTTTTTAATGTCTCTTTTCCCCTCAGCTGACTGATACCTTCATGAGGCAGGAAACATATCTAATTGATTCACCACTGAATTCCTTGATCTGAGCACAGTGCCTGGTAAGTCATAGTAGGTCTTGAATAAATACTTAATGAACTAACACATGAATGAAAAGACTCCCATCATTGTTTATATACTCATAACTTGAAAAGTCTTTGGAGTCAGGCAAACTTAGATTGCAAATTTAACTCATATCTCTGAACCTCAGATTCCTCATCTTTAAAATGGAAGTAAACAATGTCTAATTCATGAGATAACATATACATAGTATCTGGCACAAGTACATATTTAATAAGGGCTTTCTATAGGTTTCTTCTCCATCCACAACCACCACACCACCCCTGGACTGTGATATAGAGTTATTTGCAATGAGGGAGCAATATCCAACAAAGGCTAAGTAACCTGCGTACCTCTGGGTAGCACAGGGAGTATTAGAAGTACTAGCAAAGGAAGTATTAGAATACTGGTCTCTTGGTTTCCAATTTTTCTCAAAGTTTCATATATGGCTCTCTTTTCACAGTTCATCTGTAGACCACAATGTGCAAAAAAGTAGATAAAGAGAAATGTAGCCAACATCACAAACACCAACCCAGGTGTTTAGGAAAGAAATCAGGCCTTAGGAAAGAATTTGAAATTTGACAGGTAATGGAAAAGTTTGATGACACTGATAAATGCAGACATTTAAAAAATTTATTTATTTATTTTTGGCTGTTGTGGGTCTTCATTGTCATGCAGGCTTTTCTATAGTTGTGGAGAGCAATGGCTACTCTCTAGTTGCAGAGCACTGCCTTCTCATTGGGGTGGCTTTTCTTATCGCAGAGCAGAGGCTCCAGGGAAGCTGGGCTTCAGTAGTTGTGGCTCCGGCGCTCTAGAGCACAGGTTCAGTAGTTGTGGTGCATGGGCTTAGTTGCTCCACAGCATGTGCGATCTTCCCAGATCAGGGATCAAACCAATGTCTCCTGCATTGGCAGGCAGATTCTTTACCACTGAGCCCCCAGGGAATCCCAAATGTAGACGTTTATCACTGTGCTTCCAAACTAGCAGGAAGTAATATCAGAATCTGTGGGCACCCCACTGCCACGCTCTAGGGAAGGGAAAGGGACTTCCTCACTAGTCAAGCTGGCTATGTGTGAATTTTCCAGATACGGTTATAGCAGAACAAGAAAGAAAACCAAACCAACACACAAGCAAACAAAAAAGCAAAGAAATGAGGCACTTGGCTGATGTTTCATTTTCTCTTCTCTCCTTTTTTTACTTAATATGTGAAAAAACATCTACAGAAAACAGTAAAAATCTTTCAGATGGATTAACACAAGTAGCAATGGATAAATTAAAAACGTGATGAGGCATGGAAAATAACTTACACAATGTTCCTACTGTGTTAGTACTGCATGTCTAGAGGCCACTATCACAAATATGTAGCGAAAGTCTTAGATGCATAGTCTCTGGACCACTTTTACAATATAAAGTGAAAGTGAAAGTGAAGTCGCTCAGTCATGTCCGACTCGTAGCGACCCCATGGACTGCAGCCTACCAGGCTCCTCCGTCCATGGGATTTTCCAGGCAACAGTACTGGAGTGGGTTGCCATTTCCTTCTCCAATTACAATATAACCCAAGCCTAAAGCAAATATGTGCACCAACATTTATGTCTGAAGTATTGTTGATAATAATCAAAACCTGAAGCTTCCTTGGTGGTCTAGTGGTTAAGAAGCTGCATGCCAATGCAGGGGACATGGGTTCGATCTCTGGTCCGGTAAGATTCCACATGCTGCGAAACAACTAAACCTGTGTACC